TTGCAATGAATTACACTAAAAAAAAATCATAGAAGTTGCCATAAACGTGTCTTATAAGTTATAACAAGAACAGGAAGGATTGAGATAAACTTCAAGGTGTACGTGGACAGATTTTGTTGTTCTAATAGTAGCCTTATGAATTGAATAAAAGTGGTTCATTTATAACATGTTTAATTTCCTTCTTCAATAAAGATAAAAGTGGAGAAAAGAGCAATAAATGCTTTGTTTAAAATAAAACATCTTTCATTATAAAAAAACAAAGTTACACTTCCTTTTATTATTCTTTATATACAAAGAAATTGAGGGGGTAGTATAGTAGTTAGTAGTAGTCTTGGTAACAGAAATGATCTGTAAGTAGTAGTAGTAGTACAGCCACCTTTGATCGTCATGGTTTTTTGTGGGTTCTAATGTGGCTGTCTTCTCACTCCAATAAGAACCGCCCCACATGGCCAGAGGACAAGAGACGTAAAATATATATATGTCGTGGACAAAAGAATCTGGTCCACCCCCACATATATATGAAGCTTTTGTCAGCTCTGGTTTTGAATTCCCCCTCTTCCTTCGGGCTTCTGAATCAATCTCATTTTTGGAATTTGAACTAGTCACTTTGCCTCTGTATGTGCATTTGTATATATATAGTCTATATATATCTTAATGCGGGGACCATCCCTTATAAGAAAAGAAAAGAAAAGCTTCAACCAAGAACCATCCATTTATCCCTTTCGGACCATATGTACATACATGACTCATCTCCCTTCACCACTTTCTCTATTTCCCATACCATTCGTACGTCTTTCTTTCCCGGCTCACATACAGCTTCCGCACCTAGCTAGCTAGTATATATTATATATATTGGTAGATGTAAATGACAGCACATAACTGAAACGGAATCTCATGCATGAAGAACACGCTGCCTATGTTTACAGCAGATATAAATGTTCTAGTGTTTGGTGTTTAGATTGACAAGGAACATGGTGCGGAGATGTGGAAGAGTGGACAAATCATGGTATTTGATTCGGGAATGGGAAATGTACGTACGAAGGTGTCACAGTTACAAGAGGAAGGAAAGGGAAGAAAAAAAACACGAAACAAGAAAGGAGAATTAAGATTATTAGCCAACGATGTGAATGATTTGGGAACAAATTAACGTGGTCCTTTAGATCTGATAAAGCAAGAAGATGAAGAAGAGAGGAGGCCTGGGAAAGCTGCACAAGTGCTGGATAAGGGGAGACATGAGGAGGGACCCCTATGAGAATGTGGGCTGATATCACACGTCCCATGCATTGTGCTAGCTCTCTTGTCCTTTCACATCCCTCTGCTTACGTTTGACGACGTACTTGTTCCCCACAAAATTCCCTCCCCTCCATTATTTTCAACATCTTGCCCTGTTCAGACCGGTTTGTTCGGCATCCTTCTCTTAACAATATAGAGCATCTTTTGGTTGCCTGGGAATCAGTTATGCTATGTCACGGCTGGTATTTAAACAGCCAATTCATTATTCATATTGTGCAGTTCAATTCAATCTGACGAGGGAGGGAGGGAGGGAAAAGCATGAAATGAAAATGACTGACAAAAGAGGGAGGGGAGGGAATGGAGAAGTGGGCCCTCGGAGACAGGGAGGGGCCATGACGGCGACTAGAGTATGTGCCCGCACTGCCCGGGCGGGTTGCCCGACATGTGCACAAAAAAGGCACAGCTCATTTTGTCGTGTTATGGCAGAGCCGTCGAATGCGAATTTGAGGTTGAGGGCCTAACTAAAAAGGAAGCCTTGTTGCCTCCTGCGATGTCTTGATCTGTTCCAAAGTTTTATGAATGATTAGCAGTACAGTTATTTTATTTAATTTGGCTTCTTTTTTCCTACGCAAGGTATACGATTAGATGCACCAATAAAACGAGTATTGTAAGCTGATACATGCTTCCTGATCACACTTTGCAATGTTCTAATAATAATATTTCATATGTTTCGGTGTAACGCGACTAACAATATTATTGATGAAATTATTAACATTTTAATTAAAGCATTGTTACCGATTAATAAAGCTGGGGTCCAACTCAAAAGCTCCCATCGCTCTTCATTCTCTCCTGCAACCAAAGATCTAATACCACATTAGGTCTTTGAGTCTAATCCAAAAACTAGCTCGTGAGTAGAAGATACTTAAAGGATATTCAAACTCTGTGAAGGTTAGGGTTTTAGGTGATGTGGGACTTATCATCCTACCACATAATTTGAGATAAATGAGTATAGTTAGTAACATACTGATTTTATATGCGTACATTGAAATTGAAATTGGAATGTGTGTGTGTCTGTGCATGGAATATATATTAATACAATGATATTGATACCAACTTGTTGCACTGACTCGAAAACTTACATAACACGGAAAATTTTTTATCCAACAAATTATCAATTAAACAAATAAACATGATTTACTGACCGATTCCAAGTTCCGACCAAGATACAGGGTGTGACTTGACATGTCGTATTTATCAGACCGTGGTTTAACTTTTAAACAGTTTTCCTTTACTACCAGTTACTTTTTTAAAGCAGAAGGATTTTTTTAATACATTTTAATACACACACACACGTACATAGTAACATATATATTATAATATACTGACGATGATGTAATGATAATGGGTCGCTAGTTGTCTGATATCTATCTAAGCCGAATCGAAGAATTTGTCGCCCAACAAATTAATTAAAGATCGTATAAGTTTCAACCCAACCAAGATATATAGGATGTGTAGTTTGTTAATCTTAGGACTCAACCCATCTTATTAGTGGTTAAACGTTGATTTAACTATATTTAATATTAGTTACATAACATGTGAACGCAAAACTTTACATCCTCTTCTGGCTTTTTCAAAAGTTAGATCATAATCAATTAACAGTGTGAAGTGTGAATGAGAGAAAGAGACCATACGCTATTAACGCTCGAATAGTCAAAAGCATTAGAGCGTTGGATTCTTCGAGTATGAATGAACAGTTAATCCTAATGACCCATCGATCAACTCCATGAGATTTCGCACCAAAAGGATTTCACAATGAACAGTCGGAATAATGAGCGAGACTTTCGTTAAGATTACAGTAAGTACTGATTGGACACTATGCTATCTTGTAACTTACGTGACAAGATTATTAAATTAAACTCCATAATCGCCCCCCCCCCTCTTAATCGAGATTTTGATTGACAAATGGCTCTGAGAATCCGAGACACAGAGGACCCCTCCTTTTTGAATGGTATCCCTCGTGTCGTCGATCTCTTTTGATCACTATGTATGACTTGTTCTCTTACTTATTAGAGTACCAATTTTTAATTCAAATTTTGGCCTTAAGTTTACGCAAGAGCAACTTGTATGTTGTCACAGTCATCATATACAAAGTAACTATTCGTGATTAGCATGAGAATTATTGTTTAATGGTTCAATAATGCATGTTTACATGTGAACTTATATATGAGGGGTCAACTTAATTGACAGGTCGCATAATATATATATATATATATATATATTAACACAGATGTTCAATTTGTCTCGTCGTAATTAGGTACAACAGTGGTAAACTATTATAATGACATAATGAAGTGTTTAATTATATACACATACATTCCTTTTAGTCAATGTGATTGGAAATCTTGTCTGTACTTGTTGTGATAGGTAGAAAAGGAATTGAATCGATCATTTCATTCACTTGTCATCACCACGTATATCTAGAGAGCTGTGCATGTTAATCTGGATGGATCCACGTACAGTCCCACCCAACTTGGCCTGCCGGATATTCTGCGGTTAAATGATTAAAATAGATATATATAGTCATAAGATTTCTCATAATTTCATCATATATATATATCTGCATCGACCTAGACACATGCCACTGAACGCGCAGGCACAAAGAGAAAACTTCTGATGAGAGAGGAGAATTCAAATCTTTATGAACAATAAAACTCATATTAGGTTAATTTCCTGGAACAAAGAGAAAAAAATACCGCCACATATGGGCTGATAATGTGATGTGAGGGGACTGAAAGTAGCAGTTCTGAAGGACTGAGGTACATGTGATAGGGTTGTTGGGTAATGGAGGCCATGAGTTTCGGGTGCGAAGTGGCTTTTTAGTTGGGGTAGGGACAATCAGCTTTACACGTACTTCCACGTGATTAGCTCTCCCCTTGAACCTGTAATCATCATTTTTGAACGCCAACCCACAATCCCAGCATTGTTCTTCCACAAAACTTGATTACTATTATACATATATCTGTGCCCCCCCCCCCCAAACTTCGTCTCCCAGTATTGATTAGTGTTGAATCGAATTAAAGTACACATGCACTCATTCACGCTGCTCAATTTTTAGCCTTAGAAACACACGGCGCTTTGGTTGCAAAGCAACATAAAGATGAGAAAAACACCATTAAAATTCAAAATGGTTGGTCGGATATGATTAATGGATGGATAGAAAATTCATGATGACTCATTGACAGTTATTATAGTCCTGATGAGTGGGACAAGCAAAAATGATTTCGCTCCCCCTTTCATAATTGGTCCGTAAAGATATCGCACGTATGATGATTTAGTTGTGTTAGACTATGTAATTATTAACGAGTGCCTTAGGATTTCTTCTGACTGGTTAAGAATCGGAATCATCAGATCATTCGAAGTAATTATGGCATTTGGGGAAAATATGAGACTCCTCATATTTTTTCTCTGATTCCTATTTAGATCCATTTTGTTTGGCAAATGGCAACACTTTCCTATTTGTATTTTCGGATCGGGTAAATAGTAGTTATTTAGCTGGTTAGCCCTCTCACGTACGTTCACCAACCCTACATATATTCTTTTGCAGCAGCAAGGACCTGACCGACAAAAGAAGCTGTCCTACGAAGCCATCCAATTGAATTCCCCAAAGGCAAGTGATATAATTCTATATACCCCTCAATCTATAATTATTTCAGAGTCTTACGCGTACATATATGAGTGCGCACAGAGGGCGAACCTACCCCCTTTAATTAGCTTTTTCTCCACTAACTCTAAAAGACTCACCCTTTTGCTTTTCGTGTGTTTTGGATTGTTGTAGATCCACAAAGATCATAAAGAAGATGATTCAGGAACTGTTGAGCGGTGCTGGCCTCATTGCAGGTGAAAGGAAAATCTCCACTAACGGAGCAGCGGGAGTTTCGCCGCTCATCACTACGCCTCATACTTCGGTTCCTTCTTCTTCATCTCACCCTTCCATCCCCACCAATACTTCTACCACCACCGCTGCCGCCACATCCACAAATTCCGAGAACCAGAACCTGAGGTGCCCTCGATGTGATTCTTCCAACACAAAGTTCTGTTACTACAACAACTACAACCTCACTCAGCCTCGCCACTTCTGCAAGACATGTCGCCGGTACTGGACCAAAGGTGGTGCTCTCAGGAATGTTCCAATCGGAGGTGGTTGCCGGAAGAACAGGAACCTCGGCGCTTCCAACTCCGTCGTGAAGACGAGCGTGGCTAAGATGAAAACAGCTGCACCATCGGAGCTTGAAAGGTCGGTGCTCGGGGTGGCCGGGTTCATCGACCACGACCTTGCTTCAAACCCGATTCTATGGGGCTCACCGCAAAATTCTCATGTGTTAGCTTTGCTGAGAGCTAGTCAAAACCATAACCCTAACCCTAACCCTAGTCTTCCCATGTCCATTAATGCTGTTAAGGAACAAGGGACCTTGATGGTGTCCCACGCGGTAACTGAGCCAGTGGTTGGAAATGGATTGGTTAACGGTCGAGCCCTAAACTTTGATTCTGTTGGTCAATTTCCCACACTTGGGCTATGCAGCTCTATCTGGAGAAGCAGTAACAGTAATAACAACAATCAAAATGGGTTCTTAGTTGGAGAACATGAGGGCAGTGGAATTCAAGAACTGTACCAGAGGCTGAGATCATCTTCAGCAGCTAATTATTGTAGCGACAATAACTCGTCACAGGTGTTGGGGAACATGGCTTCTTCTTCACACGCATCTTCTTCTTTATCTGCTAATTTGGGGTCTGCTCCAGTAGTTGCTGGGGATGATCAATTGGGGTATACCTGGAATCCAACTCTTTCGTGGTTTGATCTTTCCACCACCAATGGTACTTCATATCCTTAACTCCATTCTACGAACATCTTAGTTTCTCTCTCTCTCTTTTCGAAGTTCCTTTTTCCTTAACTCACTTGTACGTTAGGGCTGTTAATTTCTGCTTTGCTTGTTTTTGGTTTCGAGTGGGATATGAATATGGATATATGTACGTAGCATCAGTCTTCTTTTACACATTTTCCACTACTTTGCTTTCTTCTGTGTGTTTTGGTCAATGTAATGTTTGGCTTAATTATATTCTCCCGGACCAGACAGTGCTAAAATTGAATGGAACTTAAGGCCGAGTGTTTTTCTAGTATCCAAATCTCTCGTTTTCTTTTCCCCTTCTTATTTTTTAATCCCCCAACTTCTTTCCTTTTTGTCGTCTCTTACTTTACCTGCACCCGAAACCAAATTTTGCTTCTCCAGTGTAAGTGAAGAAGTGGATGTGAGTCCTTAATTAAAAGTAGGCGAAAGAATGCAAGGATTAAAAGAAATCATAACCTATATCTTTGATAAGCTAATAAAAAACAGAGTTAAGCTCGTCTAGAAGAATATGATATATAACGTTGGTAAACTCAAAACTCTCGGGGTTTAGCATACAGCATATGTATTTTAACAGTTAAGGTGTGGGTGGGTAGCATATGCAGAACTTTTGGGTAACGAGAAATTTAGAGACGAATGAAATGAAAAAGGCAGGCTTCAGAGAGAATTTTCTCAGATAACGTTAGATTCTTGCTGTTGGTGAACAAGGAATCCAACAGCAGCCTTACTTTCAAACACACCTATGCCCGACACACTTCTGTTTCTTTGCTTTCCCCTACTTTTATTCCCTTACGGACCCCTCCCCCCAAACAAAAAAACTCCCCTCCTCTCTCTCAAAAACAAACAGGATAATGTCTATTCATTTTTCTACTAGCTAGGCTTTCACCTGTAGTCTGTGTTGCCTATTATGGAAATCTCACCCGTTAATTAAGAAACGTAATTATGTTCGAAGGATATATTGTGATGGCTGAGAAATTATAATGCCCCGACCGTCGTCTGTGCTTTCTTCCTAGTCTATATATTTATTTTTAATATAAGATTTTGTTTGACTTTTATTTTAATCTTAAATATAAGACCCTAATCTACTTTATATCTCATATTTATTTATGTCATATTTATTTATTTTTTCAAGATAATCCTTCTAATAATGGTAGTTTCAGCTAATAAACTTGATTAGTAATGATATTTTAAAAAAAACAACACCTGTTTATTACAAATAACTAACTTAATTTATTTTCTTAATTTACTCAAATTAGTCCAACTAATTTTTATATTTAGGACTGAAGATAGTATTCTAAAAACATTTTTCAATCCTTGAGGAATCCCACCGGTTTCCAAAGTTTCATCGAATTCCACTAGCAGTTCAAAATGTAATTAGTTTACGTCAATATATAGAGAGCAAAGCTGTGAAGGTATTGATTCCATTGCAAAGTTGATATTGTTAGTTAACCTTGATTTTCGTTAAAGCGTGACTTGGTAGTATAAATTTCTTCATCAATCTCCGTATATATTGTTAGAATTGGGGTTAGACTTGGAAAGAATTAGAAATAAATAAATAATAGAAGCGCACATGCACATTTGCGGTGCGATTGTTTATGAATATCTAATTGATGAATCTGTGACTCTTGAGACTTGAAAGGATTTTAAACTTGGCAAACAATATAGGAAAGGATTATAATTATTGGATTATAAGAAATAATCTAATGAATTAACGCAATAGCACCTTCGCATTTCTACTTATATAATAACCTCGATATTATTATATTCGAAAGCAAATGTGCATTTTTTCACTGTATTTTGACAGTCACACCCTCGCAACTGAAAATTCTAAAACAAAATAATAATAAGAATGAAAAGAAAGATATTGAGAGCTACAACTTACACTACCAACAGTGATCAAATTTAAGTGGAAAAGAATGGTTCTTTTTGACTATGACTGACTAGTGCAGGTGCTTAGCCTTGCCACAAAAAAGTAGATTGGGAGGCGGATCAGTCTCAGTGAAGAGGCTCTTTTCATTGTTCCACACCCTCAGATACAACTCTTGCCCCAAGTACCTCCTTGACCATATTGCAGATCTCAAGTTCCACATACCCTTATTGTCCAAAGACACCAATATTGCACTCCATGAACGTGGATATACCTGAACTGTGTGCCTCGGAACACCGTCAACCAAATTGTAACGTCTTCTCATCTCAGGTTTCCACACACCAGAGCCGTACCTGAACATTTCAACTCGTCCTTTGTAAAATTTTACTCTAAATTAGACCTCTTCATGTGTGTGTGGGCGTGAGAGAGAGAGAGAGAGAGAGAGAGAGAGAGAGAGAGAGAGTTACCCGACGGCATAGAAGCTAGATCCATCCATATGCCAGGACTGGACAGTGGTCTCATTGTTGAGGAAAATAATTTCGACGAAGTCATGAAGGGCAAGTCCTACGACAGAGACTCCAAGCTTAGCAGGGGTACCGCGACGAGGAGGGCTATCTCCGATAGTATTGAGGTTAAAGACACCAGGAATGTTGAACCAATCAGCCAGCTTCAATGGAGTGTTGGGATCCACGTAGGAAATCCCATTCACAGCATATCTCAATTTTCCATTTATAATGGCCTTAGAATTCTCTAACACGATTGTCCTCACTGCTGGTATAGTTCCGTAGTGGAATGACCCCTGAGGATTCGGCCTGGCTGCATTTGCTGTTAAATTCAACCTTTCCCCAAGCCAAAAAAAAAAAAAAAAACAGAGTCACTAATAAAAACATGATCGACTGTAGCGGAGTCCTCATCTTTTTTGTTTTTTTTTTGTTTTTAATGTTAAAAAGAGAAGGGTTCTCCTACCTGATGGTCCTGGCTTGCTTCAGGGACCAATGAAGTTGGTAAGTAGGGCCAGGGGGTAGAGGTCCAGGGGCCTTTTTGTTAGATCCCACGTAACGAAGAGTGGCTATGGCGGTGAGCATTGTCTTAGTGAAACGACTTGATGCGACGATGTAGTAATCCTGAGGTGGCCCATCAAGTGTAACCAAGACTGCTAGTGACTGGCCCACATGAACATCCAGTGATTCGTAAACTTCCTGCAGTGTGTGAGCTCCTTCAACTTCGATGAGCTTCATCTTATGCCCCTGAATCCTCAAGTTAATTGAGGTTGCTATTCCCACGTTGGACACTCTGATCTTGTAAGTTTTCCCTGATCGAATATATTTTATTCTCAACCTCGGATTTAATCTTGAACTTGTGGTTTCTTGAATGTAAGGAATAATGGGGATGGTTACCTTTTTCACCGGTAAATACGGCTGAATTCTTTTGGCCATTTATGAGAAGAGCATCAGGAAAAGGAAGAGGTTTGTTAGCGTCCAGTTGTCGCCTCAGTGACTGCAATTCAGATGGTTTTACTTGGGTTAATTCCATCACAGCGGTTGCCTAATATTTTATTGATGGGAATGACAAGGAATACCTTGTGGTCGGTCTTGAACCAATCATGAACGAGCAAGGTGAAATCTGCTGCGGGTTCAGGATACGGCTTGGATATCACAGACCTTTGGTCAATATTGAAAGCACCAAAACCGCCAGCAACTCTGTGAAGTTTGGTAGATGGGAAATAATTGTAGGTTCCAATTTGATCCTTGAGTTGGAACTTGTATGTCCAATTTGAGTTTGGAGGGATTGGGCAGTTGGTTCCCATAGCTCCATCTTGCCATGAAGTTCTTCTCTGTTTGATGCCATTCCTGTTTTACACCACAGTCCACAGATAATACTTGTTACATAACGATATCACCCGAAATCCTAGTTTAATTTACGGTGAGAGAAACCTAAACTATACATATGGAAAAGAACCGCTGATCACCATGTGATAAGGAAAGGTTCATCTAGCTTGTTAATGACATTTACAAGGATATTGTCATTAGTGACAGCATCTACGGTTGGACCTGGAAATTGGCCATTGATAAGAACACCCTGACAAGGCAGTATAAATAGAGATGATTTATCAGACCATTCTGCAGGTACGAAATAAAGACAAGGGGTTAAAGATTTGACCAACCTGTTGAGGAAAACCAAGGGGTCTTATTGTTCCATATCTCACTTCCCACGTAAAATACCTATATGGATCTTCCGCATTCACCAACGCAGCACCCAAGCAAGCCAAAATTCCAAGAATAATATGCATCAGTGTGGCTTGCTTCATCTTCTTTTGTGCTACTTCTGTCCGGTTGCCAAAGAACCAAGAGACTTTTCAACAATATATTCAGTAACCTTTGGACGAAGATCTTTGACAGATATGCTCAATGACGTACATCGATAACGAAGAGACGTTTCAACAAGGTATTCGGAAAACTTGGGACGAATATCTTACATTCGTGCGTCTGTGTTAGTGAAGTTAGTGAAGTCAAAGTCAGACTGTGCTGGATGGGTAAAACTTATCATGTGATAAATTGGAGTTATCAATTTTAATAAACCGAGAAGAGCGCAGAAAGGAGAAAGAGATCAAGAATTCATGAAATCTTGTTCTTTCTTTAACCCAAAAAGCTACCTTAACTGAGACAGGAATGCATCTTTTCAAAACCAATATGCGTAGCAAATTAAAGAAATGAAAGAAAAAGGAAAGAAATGCACGAACCAGAAACTCAAGGGGGAGAGAGCTGACTAGGTCCCAGATTTACGAGGGCCTATATATATATATATATAGAGAGAGAGAGAGAGAGAGAGCAAAGTACGCGGACCGCGGGCTAGAACTCAGCTCAAGCTTAGCTCAATCGTTTGCTTTATAAAGTATAACTCTAATTAATTAGCACGTTCTGCTCGTCCCAAGAAACCTTATTCGTCAAGCCAGCAACCTGGTTATATATTCAGAGTTCCATTTAAATATGACTGCGTCGCAATTTAATAAGAGAATGATTACTCAGTAGTTTGTTCGTGAGAATGTGAACCCATATGAAGCTGCGGATAGGGAAGCTACGAATGCTTCTTCCCCATTTATGATCTCAATAATTCATTTAAAAAAATTCAAATTCTTATACCTTGAAATACTAAAAAAAGAAGCAAAACTGAATACTGCTACTTTGCCTTCAACGAAAGCACTCAAATCAGGAGCAACGAGTTTGGGGATTTGGACTCAGCTGAAATTCTTGGCAGGTGGCACGAGGTGGGGATCTAAGAGGGCGGTTGTGCCGGAGCTGAGAGCGGATCGATCTCGTTGTTATTATATTTTTGCTGTGAATTTGACGATCTAGTTTTATGTCCATTAACATCTTTTCAGACAGATCCGAAATTGTTTCTCAATCAAACTGATAGCTTTTCCCCATATATATGATCCAATGATCAGATTGATCTTGTAGGCATAACGATCGATTCCCTCCTTCATTACGTCTAATTTATATAGTACCGTGTATTAAATTTTTTAGTGCTTTTTAATGAAATAGAGAGATAGCATTGACCACTAATAGACTATTGCTTTCTTCTTCTTCTCCTCCCCACTGAATGTATAAATAATATCTGAGGGCGGCTTTTTCATTTTTCTTAAAGATTTTTGTTTTTTAAATGAAAATTTTGTAAAAATCAAGCTGATTAATTCTTATATTTTTTTTTATGTCGTCAACTTTTCGTTCTTTTTATAAATAAATTTAATTTACAAACAGACAGAGGCCTGGAAATAGTGAAGGCCAATAAAGGACGAGAAAGTAAAGAAATTTCGAACGGGTGCATGCAATGCCACACGGAGGTTTGGGGGGGGGGGGAATCCCAGATGGAGAACAATAAAGGAAAAAACAATATTTTAAAGAATGATTGTTGTATAAGCCAACTGTGGATTCAGTGGATGGTAGCCTAGATAGACAGGATTCGGAAGTGAATGAGATAGATCCCAAGAACTCCATTCTGGAAATAGAAACAGATCAACAAGGCGGATCACACATGGTTGTGTTTCATTGGGAACTCCTAAAAGGTATTTGCATTAAATTTTGTCACGTGGCCCACTTCCTGCACTCCTTTCTTCCAAATAGAATCGCACATGCAATCACAAATCTTCGTCCACAATGGAGTGGAGCGACATTTGTTAGAGTTCTCATATGTGCGTGTGTATTCCCTTATTCGTACAAAACACGTCAAAGGTTCTCGTCTTATTTTTTGTTTTTTTTTTCCAAGTTCAATTGTTTCTAGCCCAACGAAATGACTGTAACCCAAATACCGACAGGATGCCTGTGGCCCAAAAGCAATAACGATCTTGACCCAATACATAACAGATCATGGGAATCTTGGAAGCCATTGATAACAGAACCCAAGATTGTACCCAAAAAAAAAACCAAGATTCAGCAGGAGAAACAAAGATCGTTATATCATACTTGTATATAATTATAATCATATATCAAGAGAGATTTAATTGAAATTCCCTTTTGGATTTCCTAGTCAAACTGTCATGAGTAGATTTAAGGACGATGGCCAAGGGCTTTGCCGCAAAGCAGGACATTGCTTGGGATATCATACTCACTGGTAAAAACTGCGTTGAGCACTCCACACCCTCAAATACAACTGCTGTCCCAGGTACTGTCTTCCCCACATCGCTGACCTCATGTTCCACATTCCTTGGTTGTCCAACGACACCAATATGCTTGTCCATGACTTCGGATACACCTACGTACATGTCCACCACCACATTCTCTCTTACATCAACATTCGTATTCCACTCATCTAAACTTGTATATTAATTCTTTAGGACCTAATTGCGTACCTGTGCTGTGTGCCTGGTCAAGGCATCCACTAGATTATAGGTACTTCTCTTGGCTGGCGTCCACTGCCCCTTGCCGTACCTGCGTTTATTGCATTCAACAATTTAATCTGTTCTCTTGAGGTCATATAATTCAAAGCAAATACAGATCCAACTGCCAAAGCTGACGTACCCGACGACCCAAAAGTCATATCCATCCAGATGCCAAGACTGCATGGCGTTTTCGTCGTTCTGGAAAACAACCTCGATGAAGTCATGCAGAGAAGATGGGATTACAGAGGTGGCTATGGTTGCTGCGCCGTTATTATTACTGGGGACGCTTTGGATTGAATCCACGCTGTAGATTCCTGGGATGTTGTAGAAATCAGCAAGCTTGAGAGGAGTATCAGGGTTAACATAGGACACCTTGTTCACAGCGTAACGCAGTTTCCCATTAATCAGAGCTTCAGAATTGACCAACACTAATGTCTTTGTCGGAGTTATCTTCCCATAATGGAATGATCCCTGTGGGTTAGGCCTAGCGGCGTTCGCTGTCAAATTCCATCTGCGCATATACAGACACGAAAGTCAAAATCTATGGGAACTTTGAAAGCATATATATCTCCAAATCCAAGGCTATATATATTCTGAATAACAACCTGAAGGTTCTAGCTTGTTTCATAGACCAGTGATATTGGTAGGCAGGAGCAGCGGGCAAAGGTCCAGAAGCTGGGGAACGGGAGTTCGCGTAGTGTAAAACTGCTGTTGCTGTGAGAACTTTCCTGGTAAATCTGGTGGAGGCAACAATGTAGTAGTCTTTTGGAGGCTGATTTAAGGTTACTAAAACGGTGACGGATTGGCCCACATGCACATCAAGAGAGTCGTAAAGGTTTTGGATGGTATGTGATCCCTCGACCTCCACTAATTTAAGGTTATGACCCTGTATCCTGAAGTTAATCGAGGTTGATAAGCCCACATTTGAGATCCTGAACATGTATGTTTTTCCTGAAGCAAGAATAAACTTTATCGGTAAATGCAGCTTTGACAGGGGGAAAAAAGTAGAATTGGAAACAAAAAGCGGATTTCTTGAAAAATGGCAAAACACGATCTGACCTTGGTCACCGTTGAAGGTAGTATGGGCCTGACCATTGATAAGGAGGCCATCTGGAAAGGCAAGAGATCTTCCAGAATCCAAACTTTGCCTTAATTTCTACAGACATGAGAAAGAGAGGAAGTAGGGGT